GGGGTTGTGTGTAAAGAAAAAATATTTAGGTGGGGACACATTTTAGAAGGTTTGATTTCAGTAAAGCAATTAGAAAAATAGATATTTATAAGGGTCATATTTAAGGAAAAAAGTTGAGTCAGGAATCATCAAAAAGAAAACAAAAAGGTGATGCCGTGTGTCAAAAAGAAGGAGAAGCCCCCCTTGTGATGCCACATATCAAAAGGGAAGGAAAGCTTTTTGGCTCTTTTATGTATGTTAAAGATTAAAGATTTGGTGCCTATGGTTAATCCTTGAGGTTTTGGCCACTCACATTAACTGCACCATACCAGCGTCCTTTCCTGCCTCCCTTGCATGAAAATATGAGGCTATTCACACTGTGGACGCTGGGCAGTCTTTTGAACTTCTTTACTATATTTTTTACTCGTTATAGATAATCTTTAAAGATACAGCTCGATGTTTTCAGTGACGTTGCAATTGTTACTTTCCATGCAGGAAATGAATACTCTATATAGATTTTGGTGTTATTTCCTTAGAGACAATTTCGTACCTTCCATGTATAATGAGTTTCAGAAATTTGCTAGAGAAGATGCTGCTGCTAACTATAATTATGGAATGGAGTGCCTTTTCAGGTTCTATAGGTATTTGTAACAGAATCCTTCTAGTTATGTGTCCTTTATTATTCTGCGACTTCAAGTTTCAGCTTTCAAGTTTTTCTTGCCGTTCTTATTTCAACCACGAGAAATTTATTTTGGGGAATTATATTCTAATTTTCCTTTGCATTTTTTAATGATGTGAACACAATCTTCTGTGCCTGCGTGGATGGGACGAGTCATTTCATCAAATTATTAAATTCTGCATGTTAATTGAATTTCTTTGTTATTTGCAGTTATGGTTTGGAAAAGGAATTTAAGGAGGGCCTATATAAGGACTTTGAACAGCTGGCACTTGAGTTTTATCGTAAAGGCAATCTTTATGGCCTCGAAAAATATTGGTAACTATTTTCTTTCACTAACTCCTTTGTTCGTACTTCCTCTAGCGTTGCTTTGTGTGCATGCATGCAATATGGTGACTGTTTGTAATTTAGCACTGGAAAAGATTGTGGTATTTAAAGCTCGAAACAAAGATGTCAATTTTCTGATGAGGAATTAGCTATAAAAAAATGTAGATGTTATTCAGCAAAAAAAAAAAAAGGATGTAGATGTTATTGAGCAAGGAAAAAAAAGGAACGTAGATGATATAGCAAAGAAAAAAAAAGGTGTGATATGGACAAATGCCTGTCAAACTCTGTGGGATAGACAGCAGGGGACTTTGGTTACTCCTGCCCTCAATCTTTCTGTTGTTTGCCTGATGCAGATGAGGGGTTGCAAGTTGTATGGTGAATCTTTTATGAGAAATTGACTACAACGGGCACACTGATGAAATTTTGATTGGATAGATTATACCACCATGAGAAAAATTAACTGCTTTATCTTGATTTTTTTCTTTGTAAATTTAACTGGAATCAAAATGTTATGTTTAAGTAACCATCATTTTATCAAATCCATTGGGTTTCACTTGCTACTGTGACGCAGTTACATGTAAGTTGCTTTTCTATGGCAGGGCATTCCATCATTATCGTGAACAACGTGGCCAAAAAGAGCCTCTACAGAAGCACCCAGAATTAGATAGGTTGCTTAGGGAAGAATACTGTTGCTTGGATGACTTCCGTGCGAAAGAGAGAAATTCTGCCTCGAGAGAGGATACCCATTAGCCATGCCTACTGTGGTGCCATTAAAATGGAATCAATTTTGAAGGACAGTTCTGCCAGCTTGATAAGGATTTGGAAGTTCACAGCCTATTTTTTGATTTGGAGGCAAAGCGAAAGATGGTTTTTGTAATCATAATATATTGATGGGAATTATTTACCACCTCTTTGAGAGCTGCCGACTGCTGAGTTTTTTCTTGAAGGTTTTCCTTGCTCCCAGGTATGCCTTTTGTTCGAGTTATCTCCGAGCTTGGAGAGGTGCAGATGATTTTACTCACTGTGATCCTTCTTCGGATTAGAACTTGTAAATAGCAAATGAAAAAAAAAAAACAAAAAAAGGAAAATTACCTCCCCCAAAAAAAGAAAAGAAAAAACGAAACTTGTAGTTTAGACATTGTGAAAATGAAATAAGAGATTAAGAATCTAATTTGTTTTTGTTAATTCAGCAGTCATCTTTTTGTTCCCCTTGTGATTTACATCATAAATTGCTGGCTGCTGTCAATTGTAAATGAAAGTTAATTTTTCGATTTATTCATTTATTGTCACTTGTTTTTGTGGATTGCATATGTCTTTACTACCTAGTTTTAGTAACATTCTAAAACAGGCTTTATAATATGGACGTTGAAAGGAAGAAATTGAAATGCCTTGTTATGGAACACTTTTGACCAGTTGTCCTTGTGCTTGTTATCCCTTTTAGGACTTTTTAGCAAGGAAAATATGGTCTTAGAAATTATCTAGGAATTCAATTTATTATGATTGAAGAATCAATGTTTCTTACTGGCTCTCTTTAGTGAAGAATCCAATGATCCTTTCAAAACTTACTTTTAATTTCAGTTTAGTGCCTATATACAGAAAACACGCACATGCTTGTAGTTCGTGTTCTTTATTTTTATTGTTATTTTTATTTTTATTTTTTACTTTACTATCGTCTTTGAGAGCTGGCTTGTTTGAGTAGTTGATTATGGTGCGGTTTGGATGGTTATTTATGATAAATATTTGCTAAACCACAGCTTCTGTTTAAAGGTGGGTTTTTTTTTTTCTTTTTAATTAGCATTTCACACTTCAAAAAACAAAAATTTCAATATCTCAAAAACCATGTTACGTATTAATTGTTGCGTACGTTAGGTTTTTGTATTGGTTGGCTAGCAAATCGTATATGTTCTATGTTCTAAGAGGATGATGATCAGAAGTACGGGAGATTATTATATTTAAGGGTAATTGGCATCATCATTGGTCCTCAACCTTTTTCTTAGGAATAAACTGAAACAAGTTCACCAAATTTTTTTCAAACTTCAGCAAAGAATCTTGTTCATACATTGAATAAAAAAAGATGTTTATTCTTTGAACAACAAATTGAAACCAGTTTACCAAAATTTTCCCAAACTTGAGTAAAGAATCTTGTTTATCCATTAAATAAATAAATAAATAAGTAAATAAACATCTTCATTCGGACGGCGCTAGCCATAGCAATTAGATCCATGTTGCCAGAGCAGGGAGTGTTGGATTTCGAAGCAGCGACACCGACGAGCCATCTCGCTTGTGAGGCCAGTGACCACCGCGAGCTTCCTTGGCCAGACGGCGCTCAAGCAACAAACTTTGTTCACCCACAGCCTGGATTGTGACGATGCAGATTTGATTTAGGAAAGGTCTTCTTTTGTGTTTCTGGTTGATTTGAAGAAATCCCAGAAAATGGACTTATGTTTTATGGTTCTTTAATCGTATGGATGGTTAAGAGAATAAATTGAAATCATGGTAGAAAGAGTGAGAAATGAGAGGGAATGGAGAAGATGGATGAGAAGAGATACTGGGTAATAGATCGATAGTGGGAAAAAGAGAGGAGAGGGAAAAGGGTTTGAGTAGTTTTTTTAGTTAAAATAAAGGGTTTGAGCTTCTTTTTTTTTTTTTTTTTCCTTTCTTTCTTATTTGGTGTGAGCGAGGGCATTTTCGACTTTTAAATGAAAAGAAGAAGCACACGGTAGTGTTAGGCAAGAGTCCGTCCGAAATTTGACAGAAATAGAGGGAAAGGTCTAAATTGTCAATACCTTAAGAGTTTAAGTAGGGGTGGCAATTTAAGTCATCACACGAAACCGACTCAAAATCCGCACAAAATTAATGTGTTTTAGTTTACTATAAATGAGTTTGAATTTATTATAAATGAGTTTGAGTTATAATCAGGTTGACACAATTAACATGATCAATAAACGGGTTGGGTTAGGGTTGACCTCCTAACACGAAATGATACGAATTGACATGATTAATTGTATGTGTCATCTGTAATTTATTGATATATTATATAAGATGAAAGTTTTTATGACATATTAAATACAAATAATATGAATTTTAATATTTGTAGGTAAAATTTATTATTTTTCTTAAAAGAAAAAGATAAATTGACCAATAAATATGTTAAACATGTTATGATCGTGTTAAATAAGTCATTATTATATTAGTTATTTATTCAATATATTAATTTAAACGGATTGTGCAGGTTGAAATGATTAACACGATTAATAAATGAGTCATTTTGGGTTGATATTTTTGACACATTTAATAAATATGTCGTGTTTCGGTTGATATTTTCTAACACGATTAATAAACGAGTTGACTCGAACATAACCCACTAATAACATAAATTGATGCTCCTAAGTTTAAGGATCATTTTATCAAAATTAAAAAAATATAGACCAAACTGTCACTTAATAAAAAAGGTTAAGGACTAATGATGCGGTTTACCTTATATTTAAATTTAACAGTCAAAACTCGGTTCTATGAAAGAAAAAAAACAAAAACAAAAAAAGAAAAGAAAAAGAAAAACAAATATATAACAGAAACTACGCATGTACGATTACCAAAAATATACTATGCATGTACTTGTGGAACAGAAACCATGCATTATGGCCAAAGCTGAAACCAAATCAAATCTCTAAACAGATCCCAGATCACACTTCAATTTTTGATTTTTTTTAATTATTCAGCAACAAACAAATCTCTAACAGATCCCTCAACAAACAAAATCCCTCAGTTCAAATTCAAATTCAAGCTATTCTATAACCACACTTCAATTGTTGAATTTTTTTTTTAAAAAATTCGGCAACGAAAAATCTCCAACAAATCCCTAACTCTGGTGATTCTTGGAACATTTTAAACTTAAAACTCTACAACTTAAGATTCTGAGCCTTTTCTAAACAGAAAATTCAAAATAAAATCCGAGTTCTCTTGTAACCAAATATTCAAAAGTCCTCCACGCGCTTGCAAACTAGAGCCAGAATCGGTCAAAGTGAAACAAAGAAAACCAAAATGAATTCTATTAGCAAAAAGAGATTAAATTCGTTTGTGGTCCCATAGAATATTTGGTAAAAGGAATCTTTTTATAGTGGCCGGATAATTTTTTCCGGCAATGTACTGGGAGATATGATAATTTCTTAAATTTTACGTTAAAATTTACAAACTCGAATGATAAAATTATAAAAGTTATGATAAACTTGTGACTTTTGAAGGAATTCGATAAATAGTTTGAGTTTGTAAGTTCTAACATAAAATTTTTAAAATTGAGGTTAAATTCTAATTTTTCAAAACTTACGGAGCAAAAATACAATTTTTTAAAATATTTTACTCATATAAAAATTATTATTTGACCCCTAAACTTTTAAAAAGTTACAATTAGACTATAAATTTTATAAAAATTTACAAATAGATCCCTAGTGTTTTTAATCAAAAGTTATCCCATGCTTCATTAGAGAATAGCAACATCCCCTTCGAAGGGGGTTTAATAATGGACTAAATAAAAGTTTATCCAATCTAATCCTTTAAAAATGTGCACCAAACATAGTATTAAAATTTAATCCTATACAATCTTCCTTACTTCTGCGTACCAAACAAGCCCCTTATGAACGAATTGACTAGGGAATGTTGCAGTGAAATGTTATAACCGAACTCTGCTTTGGGTTATTGTAGGCGTGTTCTTTTGCATGATTTGAGTTGTGTTTGTGAGAAAAAAATACTGTAATAAAAAATTAAATTTAAATTTTTGTGAAAGAAAACACTGTAGCACTATCACTTGATTCATGAAATGAACATACCCTGCATGTTTTTAGTTTTTCTCTTTTGCTATTTCATCGGTAATGTACCTTTGGCAGGTAATTTTCTTGTAGTATTATTATTTTTTCTAAGAGAACTTTCTCATTACTATTGATTTCAATTAAAGCCTCATTTTGTTCCTATTAAATGAGACGTAAGGAAAAATTGCTCTAATAATATATTACAAAGTTTACAACATTCAAATCGCCCGGCCAACGCTCAGCATCACCCATTAATAAAATAAGTCTCACAGTTTGTGGGTTATAGATAGGCCTTATTTTTTAAGACAAAATTTATAAGTTCTCTTAAAATTTTGTCACTTGTGTCAACATACTCTCTGAACTTTAAAATGTGCATGTTGTGCCCCGAAACTTTATCACTTGTGTTAATATGCCCCCTGAGTCTAATTATGTTAAGTTTTTTAATGGAAATGTTTATAAACACCTCTTGAACTTTGTCACTTGTATCAATATGCCCCATGAACTTTAAAATGTACCTATTGTGCCCCTCGAACTATGATATGTTTCCAACTTTTTCCCTCCATATTGATTCTATCGGTTTTTTAAATAGAAATGTTGATATGATCATTAAATTACTAATTATCTTTGATATTTGGGGTTTATTGAATGTCTTCCCCTCTAAAACTGTTAGTTAGACACCAATTCTCAAAATATTAGTTGATTAGAGGTAATAAAGATGGAAAAAAATGAGGAGCAAATCTATGTAATGTAATGGATTTTGTTAGTTTTTTTTTTCTTAAGATGCAACCTTTATAGAAGTGCTCGACATAAAACATATTTATATTTTATACATTATAACATTTCTAAATCTAAAATATGTTCAGATCATTTATTTTATTTTACTTCTTTAAAAAAAAATTCAATACAACCCTTAAGAAACCCATTAACTTAACAAATCTTAAGAAAAAATGTTCAAAAAAAAGGTTATACGAAATTCAAGAAAAAATCTATCATCTAAATTGAGGAGCCTATTAATTTAATAAACATATTCGAATGAAAAATGAAAAGAATAAAAAAGTAACAAACCTATTACATTATTCAGATTTACTCATCATTTTGAGAATTGAGAATTAGTGCCTAACTAATATTTTTAGAGGGGAATGCATTCAATAAACCCCAAATAACATAGCTAAATAGCAATTTAATGGTTATATCAATATTTTCGTTCAAAAAACTGATAGAATCAAGATGGAGTAGGAAAAGTTAGAGACATATCATAGTTTGAGAGGCACAACAGGTATATTTTAAAATTCATATGACATATTGACACAAGTGATAAAATTCAGGGAGTGTTTATATATAAGCATTTCCGTTAAAAAACTTAACGAAGTTAAATTTAGGAGACATATTGACATATGTGATCAAATTTAGGGGGCACAATATGCATATTTTAAAGTTCAAGAGGCATGTTAATGCAAGTGATAAAGTTCATATAAAATTTATAAAATTTATCCTACATTAATAATAATGTAGTGTTTAACACTGTCAATATCCTTGAGCATTTTTCCATTGTGCCAAAAGAAAAAAAGAAAAGCCAAAATAAGGAAAGCAAAAGTGCCAAAAGGCAGTGGACCTTTTTCTAATTGTGGGATTTTTTCATTTACGAAAAGATAATTTCTTTAACTTTTGTGCCAATCGTTGTCAAAGTTTGAGTCCAGTTTTAGCGTGCGTGTGTTTGAAAGTAAGTATTTACGTATATGATATCATTTAACTTTGTCCCTGTACTTGTTTTAATTCAATTTTAGAACATACTACATGCTGATGAATTAATATAAGCAGAATTTTTCTAACAAATAATTGTTATGCTCGACATATCACACATTATGTTCAGCATCACAAATTATTTTAATCCAATCCTTTTTTTTTTTAATCAAAATAGTAATTTTACAAAGACTGTAGGACTTGAAATACAGACAGTCCATTAGAATGAACAATAGGCAAATTGTTATGTTTTACGGACTCAAAACATATTTTCAATTTTTATGTCTAAGAGAATATATAATCAATAAAATCATGATATATATAATTAAAAATTTTAAAATTCTTTTTGACGGCTTTTTTTTTAATACTTGAGTCTATTAAATTATATCGTAAAATGTAATTGATTATACACTATTTTAAACAACTAAAAATTAAACAAGTGATTAAATTCATGTTTTATTAAGAATCATGCAAGAACGCACTACTCACTAGATTTTTTTACATGACTCCGCTTTGCAAGAGATGCAAAATAGAGCTCCAATAAGTTATCTTTTTTAGTTTTTTCAATACTTTTCCTCTATAAAGTCACGTTCGGGAGAATTTCAATTGAGGATTATTTTAGGGACTTGTTCACCTATCAGTCTATGTAATGTCACGTATAAGGTAGTTTCGAAGACACTGGCGAATAGACTTAAACGGGTTTTGCCGCTTATTATATCCCAAGAGCACAGTGTTATTGTGCCTGGGCGTCTCGTTTAGTGGCCTTTCAGGTGCTTCACTCCATTCGACGAAGTGTAAGGGGTAGAGTTGAGCTGATGAGCCTTAAACTTGACAAGTCGTTCAAAAATTTTATGTTCTTTTCGGCAATGATAAGTCGTTTAAAAATTTTATTTTTTTTAGCGACGATATGTCGTCGCGAATATTCTAATATTAACAACAACAAATGTCGTCGCTAATAATGTCATAGCATGAGTCAGATAGAATGGCGACGATAAGTCGTTCTAAAATTTTATTTTATTTTTAGCAACGACATGTCGTCGCGAATATTCTAATATTAGTAACGACAAATGTCATCGCTAATAATGTCATGGCTAATAACCTTTTTTGTTATAGTGAGTTGCGCTGATGAGCCTTAAACTTGACATGAGTAAAGCTTATGATCGGATAGAATGGCTCTTCTTGGAGTGTATGATGTTAAAACTAGGTATTGGAGCTTGCTTTCGGCAGTTAGTGATGGATTGTGTCACTACTTCTTCACTGTCCTTTGTAGTTAGGGGAAGTCCTCAGGGGTTTGCTCGGCCGTCTTGGGGTGTGCGTCAGGGTTGCCCGCTTTCTCCGTATTTGTTTCTTTTGTGTGCAAAGGGACTTACTGCGCTCTTGAGAAGAGCGGAAAGGGCTGGACATATTTCAGGTGTCATTTACTGTTTGCAGATGATTCCATTATTTTCAGCAAGGCCACTTCGCGGGAGGGACAAGCAATTGTCGATGTTCTGCATTCCTATGCCAAGGCAGATGAGGTTAGGGAGGAATTGAAAACATGTTTTGGACTTGCTGATGCTAATATCTCACATGATATGTACTTGGGATTGCCGTCCTTTGTGGGGAGGAATCAACGAGTTACTTTTAATATGGTCAAGGAGAGTGTGATGAGGAAATTGCGGATTTGGAAAGGGAAGCTTTTCTCCATGGCAGGGAGAGAAATTCATATTAAAGCAGTCGTGCAAGCTATTGCCACCTACACTCTTACGAACTGTTTATTTCACCGATTTGAATTTAGAATTCGAGTTTTGTTACAGTAAAAGCTCTCAAAATCAGTCACATCTAATTTTTTTGTTACAGTAAAAAGCTCTCACATAAAGTCACATCTCCACTCGAATCAATGAAACGGGCCCTTACTGTTTTCCGAATTCCTCAATCATTGTGTAATGACATTCAGGCTCTAGTTTCAAGATTTTGGTGGGGAGGAGATGAGACGAACAAGAAGATCCACTAGATTAGGTGGGAGAGACTTTGTCGGCCGAAACTAGGAGGGGTAGGTTTTCGTGATATGACGGCTTTCAATCAAGCTCTCCTAGCTAAGCAAAGTTGGAGGATTATCCAGAATCCTAATTCATTTGTTGCCCGAGTACTCGAGGGCTAAATATTTTCACCATGGGCCCATTCTAGAGGTTGAAGTAGGCCATAACCCTTCCTATACATGGCGGAGCCTCTTATGGGGCAAAGAGTTGCTGGCTAAAGGTATTCGTTGGCAAGTGGGTTCGGGTAGGAATGTCACAGTTTTCAGGGATCCGTGGATGCCTCCTGTGGCGGAGCCACTTGAAGATGAGTAGCCGCCTCCACTCAAATTTTTTTGAAAAAAATATTACCTTTAAAAATTTTACATTTATGCCTCCACTGAAATAATATATGCCCCCACTAAAATAAATATATTTTTTTATATGTTTCTACTAAGATAATTTGTTAAAAAAATTTAGTGTACGTTTGCCTCGGCCTCATTCTTTCAAGCCTATCACGCCTTGTTCAGAGGGTATGGAAGAGTTGTTGGTTGAGGATTTGATCGTTAATAGGCAATGGGATAGAAGTTTTGTTCAGGCCAATTTTTTGCCCGTTGATCAGGGTGTGATTTTTAGCATCCCTTTGGCTTATGGCATGAGTAAGGATCGGTGGATGTGGCATTTTGACTCGAAAGGGCTGTATACCGTGAAATCGGGTTATAAATTGGCAATGGAGTTTGAGGCGCAACCAAGGAGGCTCCATGGGGACTAGAGATCGGAGGTTGTGGAAGCTGCGGCTTCCTAATAAAATTAAGAATTTTATTTGGCGTGCAGTTAATGGCGCGCGCTTTACCATGTTTTGTAAATCTTAAGAATCGAGGGGTTCCTTGTGAGGAGATGTGCGAAAGATGGTTGGAATCCCGGGAATCCATTTGTCACGCACTGTGGGATTGCCCGCATGTTTTGAAAATATGGGACTCCTGTGCGTTGTGGCCTAAGCTAAAGATGATATTGGTGGGCTGCTTTGAAGATCTTTGTATTGCGTTTAATTAAGTTCCTTCGAGCGCGGGTTTGAAAATCTTTTGCGTCATCGCATGGGCCATCGGGTATGATCGAAACCAGCTTGTTCATCAGCAGGGCTGTAGGAATGTGGGGGAGGTGTTGGAGCTGGCAGGACGGGTGTTAGGGGACTATTATCTTTGAGGGAGGGGTTGTTGTTTGCAAAGTCGCGTGGCTTGGCGATTAGTATAGCAGATTTTGATGCTCTAAAACACCGTTCATTTCACCAATTTAAATTTTTAATTTTAGCTTTACTATAGTTAAAAGCTCTCATAAAAAGTCACATCTGACTTTTTCTACTACAGTAAAAAATTCTCACATAAAATCACATTGTAACTCGAATTCGCGAACTGAACGAGGCCTAAGTGTAGTCTAGGCGGTCTCTAATGGATCCTCTTTAGTAGAGGAGGGTGTTTTAGTAGAGGAAATAATAGGGTTACTCTCTGATGTTCCCAATTGGAAATGTTCTCATGTTTCAAGTGAGGGTAATCTTGTGGCTCATATCCTAGCCTCTTCTGTTTACCAAATGGAGGCGGATTTAGCTGCTTCAGATGCTATCTCACGCTCTGTGTCGCTTTTTATTCGATCTGATTTGATATAATGAATTCCCATCTTTTTATTCAAAAAAATGTTACATGCATTTTTTGAATGGTAAAATGTTACATACTTAAAAGTTGTAATAAGAGTTCTTGTGTAGAATCCTTTGATTTTTTTTTTCTTTTTGATGGGCCTTCGATTTTTTTTTTAAATAAGAAAGAAAAACAAAAACAAAAGAATTAGATTAAAAAAAAAAAAGGCATTGCTTTTGGTCTTGGATTAAAAGAGAACATGCCCTGATCAGAATAATCCACAACTATATTCTCTGAGTTTAAGTGAAACACAAAGTTTTTCCCATTGCATTTCCTAAAATCACAAAAAATTATCCCAAACGTTTTATCAAATGTACTTTAGAGGATACCTTTGAGATTTCCAATAATGTAATGGGCAAAACCAAACATTTTCACTCTTAATAAGATCATTTTAACAATGTGGGGCCCCAGCTAGACACGTGTATGAAACAGCAAAGGTTTTTCTGTCAGAAGAACAAATATAGCTGTTAACTCTAGCATGCCAACTTTCTATACAACTTTTTTTGCCAAAAATTGCAAAAGGTTTTTCTCAGTCAGAAGAACAAATATGCAAAGGTTTTTCTCAGTAAGTGATGAACTGTAGCCAACTTTTTTCGCCAAAAATTGCGACCTCTCTGTTGTCCTATTTATTTCCTTTATTTTTTCTCTCTTCTCCCTTATTTCTATACATAACTGCCCTTGTTTTTACAAGGAATTAAAAGAAAGAAAGAAAGAAAGAAATCAAAGGGACAAAAAAGAAGATAGAATTGGAGGGTTTGAGATTGAGAAATAAGAAAATGGAGATTATTTTGATGGCAATATTGATATCAGGAGTAGAGTATGCAAGCGCAGACATTCATTACGTTGGAGGAGCAAAGAACACTTGGGCTCCCAATGTCAACTTCTCTCATTGGTCCTCTCTCGAGCACTTTCACTTGGACGACTGGCTCTGTGAGTTTTTTTTTTATTTTTTTTTTATTTTTTTTTAATAGAGTCGGGAATTCGAATACTAGACATTATTATTAATCGCGGCGGTAGAGATTAATTACTGTTAGATTAAATCCGCAACCATTTTTTCTGTACTGTCTGGTTACATGTTTTTGGATTTCATGGTTTTATTGATTTTAGAGGGGAAAAAAAGGTTTTATGCGGGTGAAGTAAGTTTTTTTTTTTTTTTTTTTTTTTTTCCCTTTTTTTTCTCCTCCAAGTTGTTTCTTGTTCAAGATTAGTTGTTTTGGAGAACAAATTAGCAGCTTTGTATTAACCAAAATTTGTTTGGTCAAACCTAACAGCTTTTGAGAACAACTAATTACTAGTAATTCTGTTCTCTTCCTATTTTATATATATATATATTTTTCATTAAATCGGGACAACCAAACAACGTTTGAAACTCTTTTCATTCTTTAGTTATTTTGCCAGACATTTACATTTTTCTTTTTTCTAGTTTAAGTTATTGACGATTCATCTAATAAAGCTTTTAGCCCCAACTTAAAATTAATATTCTTGCAGTCTTAATTAGATTTTAATAATTTCCCAATGGCATTATTGGTATATCTTTTTGTTCAGTTATAATAAAACCTCAAAAAATTGAGATCAATTATGTTGCCGAATTTGGTGGTTTTGACTTAGAATAGTCCTCAGAGTTCCAGTTTACCACAAATATTATATTTATTTGATTATTTTAGTTGAAGTAACAATATTTGTTCTGCTCCGTTCTTCTATGATGCACAAGCATAAAAGTAATTAACTTGCATTAACATTTGATTTTATATTCTCTTTTGACTTTTTTTTTTTTTGGTTTCTTTGATTAGGATGTAGCAAGGTTTTAACATATATAATATATATACCTTAATTTCTACACGCACACAATCTAATGTCACTCATACACATATATCCACTACTTTATTCGAAAAATAATTTTTTATCCAGATAATGTAAAAGCAACCGTTGGATAAATTATATTACATGATACGTACATATATAGGGGTTTACATTATGACATATATGTGACATATATAAGCACTCTAAATATTTCTTTAGTGGAATTAGGCATTGTAATATTGCTTATCCAATATCTGCTGAGCAAGATAGAAACCAATGGAATTTTTTCATTCTACAAAATTGAAAGCCCCATCTCTAATTACATAGTTAAAAAAAAAAAAAAAAAAAAAAAAAAAAAAAAAAAAAAAAAAAAAAAAACATTTTGTTGGGTTAGACACATTTCGTTTTATTGGTAGGTCTCCTACTATAAAAAAAGTAGACGTGGAACTTGATACAATGTGATAACACTAAAAAATTTTCTACATGAAAAAAAAAAATATATATATATATATATGTGTGTGTGTGTGTGTGTGTGTATATATACCTATTGAATTTGGTCCCATGAAAGTGGAATTATTTGCGTTTGCCAACTAGTAAGAACTTAATTTTTGTTGTTGATTTGTAACATTTTTTTATATCCTTTCTTTTTTTTAATTACGCATTGAAGCTAAATTCAAACTCCTATCTTATTATCTTTACTTTTGTTCAAGTCTATATATATATATATATAGAGAGAGAGAGAGAGAGAGACATTACATTCTTTTTTTTTTCTTTTTGCTTTTTCTCTCTCTTTTGTCAATTTATTTGCAAAGATTTTGGATACAACAAGTACCAATTCAACGTATTGGAGGTGAACAAAACAAGCTACGAGAGCTGCAATGACAGATATTTCATCACAAACGTAACAAAGGGAGCAGGGAGAGATGTGTTCCAGCTCAAAGAGGCCAAAACCTACTACTTCCTAAGCAGTGGGGGATATTGCTTCCAGGGAATGAAAGTGGCCGTCGATGTCCTCGATATTCCGCCCGCAGCCCCTCCTCCTGAGCCGGTCAGAAACAGCTCTCCGGAGTCGGTTTCCGTCGGCCACATCACTCCCTTAGTGCTGCTGCTTGTTGCCAACGCATGGCTGTGGAATTTTGTCATTTGAGTTGTGTTAGTCACATTTCATGAATGAATGCTAAGATGTTGTTTTAGCATATCATTTTTCTTTTTCTTTTTTTTTTAAACTATGGAATTTATACAATAGTGTTTCTATAGTCATTGTGCAATTTTGCTATTGCTATTGCTACATTTGGACTACAGAAAGTGGAGTTTTATTCAACAAATTTCCCTAAAGAAAACTTTTTTTTTAAATGAAAATGTTGTATTAAGCAACTACAAGGACAGATGGAGAGCCCTGGACTCCGAGATATCCTCAAACATATCTGAGTGTCATGATTTTTTATACGATCGATTAGCCAATTTCCAAAGCATGATCCTGCTAGTTAAGCTGGATGAGAGAACATTTCTTGGACTTTTTTCCCTTCTTTTTTTTTTTTTTTTTTTTTTTTTTTTTTTTTTTTTTTTTTTTGCTTTGCTTTTTTTTTAATTAAAAAAAATTTTCAACCTCAAATAAATCTCCAACAGATATCTCAACAAAATCTCTGGCTAATCTCTTCTGATTCTTATAACAATTTAAATTTAAACCTCCATAATTTAGGGTCTGGAGCCTTTTATAAACAGAAATTTCAAATTCAAATTAAAAATCTCCTATAACCATACTTCAATTTTCGAATTAAAAAAAAAAAAAAACTGTTCAGCAACAAATACATTTCGAACAGATTGCTGAACAATCAAAATCTCTTGTGATTCTTTTAACGGTAAAAATTTAAATGTTTATATTATCTTTCTTTATTTTTCAACTTGTATTACGTTTAACAATTATCAGAGTATTTTGAATACTCCTTTATGTAACTGTAAAACTGTAAAGAAAAACAAGGAAGCCAAATATTTGGTTTAAATTTGTTATATTGATGAAGGTAGTATTCCTAATGAAAAACGGAACATTAAAAAAAAATTACTTCATCAACAAAATAACATAAACAATAACAACTTATATCAACACTAAAAAGATATAAAATTGACAAAATAACATTCCAATCAAGAGTGAGTGGGAAAAGAACATAATTCAACAACCATAATCTCAAAATCCTAGATAAAAATGAAGAGAGAGAAAAAACAAAAAAAACAAAACAAAAAAGCATATGAGTCTATCATATGCAGTAAAAGCGCACAAAAATTAACCACAATAAATACACACATGTAGTTTGAAAAAAATATCATGACCACGTTGACTAAACATTATAAGAAAAGTGGTAAATTTTACACAAAGACTCTGAAGTTGTAGGATGAATTATATATTTACATCACATTTTAAGTCTTTGTTTCTTAACCTCTTTTGGTTATATCGTCATTTTGGCCATTTAATCGCTTTAAAAATATCTCAAATATGTTGTTTGACAAACAACAGCCAATAAAAATTGAAGTTAACTAACTAAATAATAATAAAAAAATCATCAATTTGAGTCTTTTTTGACCATTTGGTCAAACTATTTGTTTTTGTATCCAACAAAAAATATTGTAGTATCTCTTATGGGAAGGACCTTAATTTGTCTTCAACAACTGGAGGCTATGCATGCTTAACAGAAATTCAACGTGTAATTAGATAGAAAGATTAGCAAATTTTCTGAATGAAAGATCAGTTGGACATAAATTGACACATAGTTTGAACCCGTGACATTGTAATGTGCTTTTGGTTAATCGACAGGAATGTTTAAGCTATTACAATTTCATTTTTCCCCATTAGTAAAAAAAAAAAGGATTATTTATCCCTCATTTCCAGCCAAAAAGGGGTTTTCCTCACCTCAAAGCGGTACCTTTTAATGTACACCAACCAATATTAATACGGTACCATAATTAAACATGCCAACAAATAATTACCAAGTCCTAAGTATATCTTTATTGTTGTTATATAAGAGATTGGAATTACCATATTAGTTATGGTTATATTAAAGGTAAATCAATTAAAAAGAAGTATTTACTACTCAAACCTATCTTTAGTTTTGAGGGCATATAAACATTTAAACTGAACAACAAAAATTCCTTAAACTTAAACAAACGAAACCACATTTTGCAACCTACCTATCCCCAAAATCACTCTCTGTGAAAAGAATTGCGAAGTTTTTGTTTTATGCATTTTTATAGCATTGGAAATGCCTACCTAAAAAGTATTCGATTTTTATTTTCTTAATGCGATAAATATCTCTAGAATTTCAAATTTTATCGATTTCTTTTTTGAATATAAGATAAGTAACGATAACAGAATATAGGAAATTGCTCTTTTTGAATTTTGTTTCTCAAAATACCTTCTCAGATTTGATGATTAATAACTTCAAATGTTACTTTCTGATGAACTCTATATATACTTTTAGGGATCTCCATTTAATTTAGCAAACTTTACAAAGACATATGTTGCGTACATATCTACACATATTTAAAATATTAGTTAAAGTAGCTACAATGAATAAAACATATAGTTCCATTTAATTTTATTTGAATTTGAAACTTTTATATTATATCAATTATGAACATATATGGAGTCGAATAATTAGTTTTAGTTTTAAAATTGTTCAAAATTATATATAGATAGGTCTGGAATATCAGCTAGGTAGTTAATGTATTTTAATCAAATATTTGCTAGGTAGTTAATGTATTTGAAATGGTGTCAAAGTTTTGAGTCCAGTTTTAGTGTGCGTGTTTGTGTGAAATGGTGATAGTAAAGATTATTTATGTTTGCGTGAAATGGTATATTATAATAATATTTTATGTTTGTCCCGCTCCATGATTTAATTCACTTTTACTAGATTTTTTTTTTTTTGAATTTTTGAAAGTAGGATTCAGTTACTTCCTAGATTTTCTAATTTCTGAAAGTAAGATCCGTTACTTCCTAGATTTTTTTATTTTTGAAAGTAAGATCCTTTGTCAGTTGCTTTCTAGATTTTCCTTTCCCAACCTGCCCGTTTGGTTCGTTAATTCGAGTTGAGATGTGATGTTATGTGAGAGCATTTTACTGTAGCAAAAAAGTTAGATGTAACTGTTTCTGAGAGTTTTTTACTGTAGCAAAACTTGAATTCTAAACTCAAATCAGCGAAAAGAACGGATTATATTTTGTTAATTTTCCCTTTGGCAATATTTATAATATCCAAGTAACTCCTCATCTTTCTGTTCAGTTACAATAAGCCCTTAAAAAACTGTGATCTAAATATATTGTCGAATCTATGGTTTTGATTTGATTTCATTTTATAACATTTGAATTTACTCTCTCTCTCTCTCTCTCTCTCTCTTGTTTTTTTTGTTTTTTTTGGTCTGTATGTAGCAAATTTAATTTTAACATAAAATATATGCAATGTACATTTTAATTACATTTGCTACATCCTCACGGTCTAATAATGTAAAACACACATCCATTACTTTATTAAAAAAATGCTTTTTATTCCGATTATGTAAAAGTACTGTTTGGCTAAATTATATTAGGTGATACGCACATACATATATAGGGGTTCACATTTTGTCATAACATGACATATCTAAGCAAGATAAAAACCAATGGAATTTTTTCTTTCCACAAAATTGAAAGCCCCGTGTCTAATTACACAAACTTTTCTTTTTTCTTTAGTATTTTGTTGGGTCAGGCTCTTTCTGTTTTTATTGGTATGTCTCTGAAATAGACATAGGACGTGGGACATTTTAACACTAACGGTCCATTTTTTCCTTAGTGAACAAAAAAAATTTACATATATATTGAATTTGGTCCCATGAAAGTGGAATTTTAAACCATTAGGCTGATCTTAGGTACAATAGACGTTTGTATAATGAGATAAACAATTATTTGACAACGAGTTATAAAGACTTAATTTATGTGGTTGGTTTGTAACTCTTTTTGTATTCCCTTCTTTTTAACAATGTATTGAAGCAAAATTAAAACTCCTATCTTATTATCTTTATTACTTTTGTTCAAGTCATACTTTATGTATATATTGACATTATAATACTCATGCATTCTTCTCTCTCTCTCTCTCTCTTATTGTCAATCTATTTTTAAAAGATTTTGGATGTAACAAGTACCAATTCAACGAATTGGAGATGAACAAAACAAGCTACGAGAGCTGCAATGACAGAGATTTCATCACAATTCATAACACCAAACCCTACTACTTCCTAAGCAGTGCCGCCCCCTGGGGCTGGGCGCTGGGCGGGGTCGGGTTGTGCCGGCCACATCACTCCCCTAGTACTGCTGCTTGTTGCCAATGCATGGCTGTGGAATTTTGTCATTTGAGACTTTGAGTCAAGTGTGAATGCTAAGATGTTGTTTTCAACATTTTATTTTCTTTTTCCTTTAAAAAAAAAAAAAAACTATGGCATTTTTACATCAAGTATCATGCTGAACTTTGCTACATTTGGGCTCCAAAAAGTGGGGTGTTTCTTCCCCCTGTTTTTTAATTTAATTCAACAATCTTTCTCTAAAGAAATACTTAATTTACAAAAACTTTTTTCTTTTAATAAAAATGTAGTATTAAGTAGCTACAAGGGCAGAAGGGAGAACTTTTGACTCTGGGATATCATCTGAGCGTAATGATTTTCTATACGATGAACCAATTTGCAAAGCGTGACCCTGGTAGTTAAGCTGGATGAAAAAACATTTCTTTGATTTTTTTTTTTTTTTTTTTTTTGCAATTACCTTTTACATTGCTTTAATTCTTTTACGCAAATGTTTGCACCTTAGTATACATAATTGCTTCTTATTGAATAATCCTAAAGTGAAACCAAAAAAAAAAAAAAAAAAAAAGTTAGACGCATAACAGGAGGTAGCTTCTATATCACACCATGTCTAGGCGAGGCCATTACAATACTTAACTACTAAAGAACTAATATCAAAATTAGTATATAAAAGAATATGATTAGGGCCAGTAATTTTGAACACAATTTTTCTCTCTATTAGAAGAGAAAATAACTCTATTAACTTCTATCAACATTAAAAAGACACCCCATCAATTTATTAGAGTTTCAAAGAAATATATGTTTTGTTTTGAATTTTTTTATTAAAAAAATAAACAAACTTCCAATTTGCATGCTATATTCACCCACAAAAAGTGGTCTTGTTGTGATACTACACAAATTTTGTGCATGGGATATGCATGTGCCCTCTTGCCAATTAGGCTCGGCCATTTCTATAAATTAGATAAACAGATATCAAATAAAGAGCTCTACAAGCAACTGACAAGGGAGAAGACAATGGAGAGTTTGAGATCAAAACATGTTGTGCTCTTGATAACACTGATGATTCTCAAGCTTTTATCCACAGATTGCCGAAACCCGGTTCTCCACAGGGTCGGAGGAGGACGGAACACTTGGAGTCCGGGCGTTAACCTCACCGATTGGGCGGTTAAGGAACAATTCTATGTTGGTGATTGGCTTTGTAAGTAGTAACCCTTGTCTTTCTTGTGTTGGTATTGCTAAACCTAAAATTGTCTAACGTTATATGCAAGCATGTTTTCTTAAACATCAGTTTTGGTTCGATTTCGCGCAGATTTTGGATTCGACAAGTGGAGTCACAACGTTCTTGAGGTGAACAAATCGAACTACGAGAATTGCGAGGAAAGGGATTTCGTGACGAATGTCACGAGAGGCGGGCGGGATGTGTTCAACCTGACCGAGCCAAAGGTTTATTACTTCTTGTGCGGAAGAGGTTTCTGCTCCGAGGGAATGAAAGTCGAGATTCCCGTTTGGCTATTCCCTCTACTACAACCGCATGATGATCATAATGTTCAGCAAAACAATGGCTTTCCGTCAAATACTTATGGCTTCTTTGGACAGTTTACTCTCATTGCAATGCTTGTCTCTGCTTTAACATGCATTTTATTGCCTCTCTAGCACAAAATATTATCTATAAAGGTCATAGCATTTTGATGAGTAATACGTACATATATAGTAGTAGAAAATATTTTCTAGTTGTTGCCTTGGTAATTAATAAGAGAATTGGGTTCTAATTGATTAATTCCCATTTTAAGTCTTGTTTAGTTTTTCAACCTGTTTTTGTCTTAATTGTGACAGAAAAAAAAAATCCCAAATTGGAGTTCAGATATGTTGTTTGACAAACCACCACCAATGAAAAGTTAAATAAATGAAAAATGGTCTTCAATTTGAATCTTTTGTAAACATTTTCTTTTCTCTGAGTCAAAACTAATCCAAAATTTTATCTGCCAAAACTTGAGTTCATGCATACTTAACAAACATTCAACGTACGTTGGACAGAAAGATTAATAAATTTTCTGAATGAAGTAACATAGTATTGTCAGATTAAGTGGAGATAAATAATAGATAAATTGTGACGCAGACCTTGAAACCGGAATATTTGTAATGTTCTTTTAGTTAATTGAACACCTTCCATACTTAGACTGGTACGTTTATGTGACTGCAAACTGTTTTAACTCATTTCCATCAAAAAATAAAAACATTTATAATACCTTATCTAATTACAAGACCATAATTTAGAAATGACAAAGCCTTGCCAAGTCCAAGTATATCTTAATTAGTGTTACCTAAGAGATTGGTATTACCATATTAGTTATATGGTTGCTCATATGTTTTCACATAGCATTTGATGAGTTATAGTAGTTAGCTTTTAAAAATGGTACGACTAAGTTAAAGGAAAATATTCCAAGTTTATATGTCTTGGTAATAAGAGAATTGGGCTTTGATTGATTATATCTCATTTTTGCCTGTGCTTTTGATGTTTTCATTGTCATGTTTTGCTAAAAGAATGCCAAAGAGAGAGACTGTTAAGATATTTAGTTTGCCTTTTATGGCAACTTCAATATTCAAGAAATGAAAACAAATTCAGCACAATTTAGGATTTTTAAGGTTTCAAATTAATGCAGATCAGGTTTTGTTTCTAGAAGTGTCTAAACTTTGGATAAGCTTTTGACGGATATTTTAAGAAACATGGAGTACTGAAAGATCTGCGGGGGACAAGACCTACAAAAATTTCGAAGATTTGGAGAAGATTTAAGATTTGAAGATTTGAATAAATCAAAGGATTATTCTAGATAAGGATTATCTTAGTTTAAATCTTTGAAAAGATTTGGATATCTTCCAAGTTACCAGAATTTAATTAAGAAAGATATTGTAGATTTAACTGGTTAAACGACTTTAAATTATTTGAATTTCAAATTCAAATCCATATGTGTTACGATAGATGAATCAATTTGTTGCAACAGTTTGAAATTATTCTAGATTGTCAATTTGAATTTTTCAAACCTCTTTTTATCATAATGTTATGTTGGCCGTTTAATCAATTTAAAGATATCTTGAATTAGAGTTTAGATCTGCCTTTTGACAAAATACAACCAATAAAAATAAATAAATAATAAATGAATCTTACCGTGAAGTATGCTATTTTGCTAAATAAGTAGGAACAATTATTTTTAACTATTAGATTAATTTTTTAGCGGTTAGATCTGTGCATGTCTGTATTAAACATCTGTTCCTGCTGCAAATTTAACCGTTAAAAAATTTATCCGACGGTAAAAATATAGTCTCCACCAGTGGAGACAAATTGCTTGCTCCACCTTAAAGATTCCCAAATAATAAAGAAAAAGAAGATGTTATCAATTTGAGTCCTTTTCGAACATATCTATCATCCTATTGATTGTTGTATTTTAGTATTTCTTATGGAAAGCGCCTTAATTTATATTCAACAACTTGAGCTCATGAATCCTTAACAGGCATTCAATGTGTTGGACAGACGAAAGAGTAAAAGCCTATTACCACACCACACAATCAAATCATATAGACGAAAGAGTAAAAGTAACTGTCATTAACATTAACATTTACACATAGATTAAAGTAAATTTGATCAAACAAACACACAAATAAGTCTGACAGACTTTCATTCTTTTACCTCCCAATCCGTCCAATATAGGGGGGATTGTTTTTGGTGGGCCCGGGTGGATTCACAACCCCTTTGAGAATCCACTCCTTCCATCAATCCACCCTACCAAACAAGTAAAAAGCTTTCCCTCCACCCCTTTCCTTCCATTCTCTAATCCACCCTACCAAACAGACCCTAAGAGATGCGGACACTGAACAATACCGTCAGTCCTGTCATATTTCGAGAGGCAGATTTTCCTTCTCGAATTCCTCAGAACATTCCTTTAGATCACCAAAAATTTGTGTGAAATCATTTTCGGTATCCCTTTAAAAGTAGGTATAATAGAGAGAAAAAATAAATAAATAAATTAGACTAGATAAATCAACATATAAAATATAATTTCAATGTTAAAGCTTAAGGTTACGTATCCGTCTTTGACTCTAAAATTCCATAAATTATTAGTCTCTAATTGGTTGCTCTAAATTTCCATAAGCTATGCAAGTTACCTAAAACAATACAACAACCTCTAAGGACGCATTTTGGTGTATCCATTATGTTATATCTTGTATATGATGAAGAAAGAGAAAGTGAAGAGAGAAAGTAAAGAGAATATAACTAGAATAATTGTATATATAATTAGTATGTATGTATATCACTAGAATAATTGTGTATCTAATGTAGAAACTCATTTTGTACTAGATTAATATGGTGGTCGGCATCAATTCCAATAGGAGATATCGTCCATGATACTGCACAAGTGCACCAAAATCCTATTGAAATTAATAAAACAATCTGCGATGTGTAGATTTATGTTGACTTCCCTTTATTTATCTTTTATAGTTAAACCTGCTTCTCTATCTACATTTTAACTATAATACTAGTTGGACTTTACGTACTATGCACATGTGGAGTAATTGTGTGTTAAGTTTTAACAACTTTGTTATTGTTAAAAGTATATAACATCTGAATCTAAAATCTGAAAAAGGAACCAAAATGAAAAAAAAAAAAAAAAAAAAAAAAAAAAAAAAGGGGGGAAACATGGGAGTAAAATGAAGGAATAAAGTTAAGGACAAAAAAAAAAAAAAAAAAAAAAGGGAGGTAACATGGGAGTAAAATGAAGGAATAAAGTTAAGGACAAAAGGAATCAAAACGGAAATTTTTTTAAAATTTCATAGATAAATAAAAAAAGAAAAGGTCAAAAAAGAATTAAATAAACTTTAGGGTAAAATGAATCAAAATGAAAAAGATAAAGTTTCTGAACAAAAAAAAAGGCCAAAAAAGGACCAAAACAAAGAAATAAATAAGTTTTACAGCAAATGAACCAAAACAGAAAGAAAAAAAAAAGACTAATAAAAGGGTAAAAAAAAAGGATGAAAATGAAGAAAGAAATAAGTTTTCAGGTAAAAGTAACTAAAACAAATAAAGATAAAGTTTCAGTGTAAAAATTAAGAAAAAGGTAAAATTAAAAAATTAAAAAAAAGACCAAAATGAAGAAATAAATAAGTTCTAGGGTAAAAAGAACCAAAATTAAAAAAATTAAATTAAATTTTAGGATAAAAATAGAAAATGGTCAAGGACTTAAATTAAGAAATAAATAAGCTGTAGGGCACCACTGAAAAGAAATATCTAAGTGAGATAAAATTTGTGCAAATGAAAGAAGAAAAGTTAAAAGTAAGGCAAGAACGAAAAATATAAAATTTTGGGAATAAAAAGTAAAAGGAAAATAGAGGGAAAAGGACCAAAAAAAAAGGACAAAATAGAGAGACAAAAGTTTAAATAGTGTTTTGTGTCTACATGAATAGTAAATGCATTCCCTCTTCTTATATAGTTTATAGAAGAAATAAATAAATTTTAAGATATCACAGAAAAATAATATCTAAATAGGATAACATTTGAAAAAAAAAAAAGATTATGTAAATGAATGAAGAAAAGTTAAAAGTAAGAGTAAGAATGTAAAATATAAAATTTTGGGGGTAAAAAGTAAAAGGAAAATAGAAGATGGGAAAAAAAAACCACCAAAGTAGTAAAAAAAAGAGCTCACAAAAGGACAAAATAAAGAGACCAAAGTTTAAATATTGTTTTGTGTCTACATGAATAATAAATGCACTCTATTTTCTTATATAGTTATAGATAGATGCAGATAGTTTATAAATTATAGATATAGATAAACGACAGTGTGGAGAGAGCAAAGGAGAACAACAACAGCAGAGAAAATTTGAATAGTAACTTGTGAGGAGGTGAATAGTAAAAAAAAAGTGCTTTCTAATATAGTTATGTTTTGTGTCTACATGAATACTAAATGCGCTGTTAAATGCGTTTTTTTTCTTATATAGTTATAGATAGATAAATATAGTTTATAAATTATAGATATAGATAAAAGACACTATGGAGAGAGCAAAGGAAAAACAAAAACAAAACAAAACAAAAAGTCAGAAAAAGACAAAAAATTGGAATAGTAGGAGGTGAATAGTAAAAAAAAAAAGTGTGCTTTTGTTATATAGTTATAGATTTGACTGCAGTTTTTAGACAAGTTTAGGTACTGCCTTTTATTCCCCTGACCATGTACTAACGTAGGCTCGTACCGTAACATCGTCATTTGCATGAAAGACGCCATTTGTTGAGAATTTCTACGACAAAGCTATATATAAATATATATCTATATATATATATATATAATTACGTTAAAACTATGGATATTTTCTCGACAAATTAAAGTGGGTGCGTGAATCACTGGTCCGGTAAAGCTGAAAAGTGCAGAGGGTGGACATATCAGGTAAGTCTTCTTTATTTCTTTGCAATTTTTAATGTAGAAAAGGCGTGTGAAAACGACCATCCATGGTATTTTAAAAACTGAAACTGACGAGCATTAGCTTACAAATATAGACTTAAATAGCAGAATAAAAATATGCTAAAATGAAAAAGATGTTATGGGATAGAAATTAACTCAATATCATAAATTATCAAATTACTAAAAGTGCGTTTGGAATTCATTCTAAAATGA